AATGGGGGTTTGGTTTTTGGGGTTGTTGTTGCTGGGGGGTTTTGTTTTTTGTTTTGGGTTTTTTACGGGGGGAGGGGTTTGTTATTTTGCTTTGTTTTTGTTTTGATTTTTGTTGTGTGGTGTTTTTTTTTGGGGGGGAGGGGGTGGTATTCTGGGATTTTTCAAAGGTAGAAGTTCACAAGATAATTAAAAGTATCTGCCTCCTCATTGTTCCCACGAACAAAAAATAAACCAATGTTTTCAATGTTGGCCCGACTGTTTGTTTGCCTCTGGTATCCAGAGTAGCATATCCTCTATAATGCTGGAGTTTGAGGTATGAATCTAAATTAGGTTCTTCCTGAATGATAAGCTCTAAAAGTTGTACCCTGATGTGGGAATAAATGCTTTCGAAATTAATTACAGAACACTTACTTGTTATACCCCAAATAAACCCCCCACTAAAAACACATCTTTCTGAAGGGGAAGATCGTTAACACAGAACCTCTGTCTTCACAGACAATTGTCGAGAAATGAGGAGAAAACAGTTTTACCCTTAGAAGACTGAACCTCTACCTATTGTATGTCAGTCAAGTTAACTGCAGATTTTACAATTTAAAATGGCGTCTATGCTTTCCACAAGAATGAATTGGCTTTTGAACAAATACTGCTCCCGTAAATCTCAAATTAATCACCAGTAGTCTAGTTTATATGAATACTAATGGCATTACATCAACATTGTCATTATTTACATATTACCGCTTAGTAGCATTCCAATACTCTTTACGGGAAGTAATAATGATGTGGGCATGCTTGGGGAACGAATTATTATAATATATTTTTTTGCCTTTATATAACATTCTTAGCATTAGAGAGCCAATCATTGAGTACGTTGGCCAATATAACAAGTAGATCTATATATTATCATGTACATGAAAACTAGGATTCCAAAAAACCTATTAATTATCCTGCTTGCCACCAATAGTCTGATTTTCGAGATTTAAAAAAGGATGTTGATTGATGAAGGGCAGCCAATAGATTTCACTGTCAGTTTTAAAAACTTAAGAGTTAATAAATTCATTGCAATAATAGGACAACTGAAACTAAAGATGGAGGATAATTATATTGTTACTAAAATTAATAGCGATTAGTATTGCTATGAAAAATAGTATGGACAAGACTCATCATCGTATTAATAATAATGCTGATGATAATAATAATGATCTAATAGTAATTATAATCATTGTTGTTTGTTTTTTTATATTGATATCAATATTATACTACCTTTATTGTTGTGTTATTGTTATGACAATTATAACAATAATTATAATAATGATAAAAATAATGATGATGATAGTAATAATATTTATTGTTACTATTTGTATCATGATCCTTTTAATGATTATACATGTAAAAGTAATAACCATAATGATGATAATAATAATATCAATACTACTACTACTACTACTACTACTACTACTACTACTACTACTACTACTACTA